AAGTGCAGTTCAGGCTGCACCCGTCTTTCCTGCCAATGGTGTTCTCCCAATTCCATCTAGCCCAGGAGATCTTCCTCCCAGTTTTTTATCCTAAACCACACTCCAGCACTAGGCAGAGAGTGTTTCATGCACTAGATGGAAGAAGGGCCCTGGCTTTTTACATTGACTGCACTAAACCATTTCGAATGCCCACACAGCTATTTGTGGTGACCATGGAGCAAAGGCAAGGGGACCCCGTCTCTGCGCAGTGCATATCACCATGGATGGTAAAGTGTTCTGACCTGTTCTGACCTGGCAGGGGTTACCCCTCCACTGATCACAGGACACTCGACCGGGGCGCATGCCTCATCAACAGCTTTTGTAGTGCAAGTGCCATTTCAGCACTTATGGGACAGCCATATGGTCCTCTTGTTGGTGGATACATACATTCACAGCTCACTATGCCACCAATAATTTTTCCAGGGTGGATGCAGCTGTCAGCATGCCATCCTCCAATCTGTGGTTCCTCTGATCCCACCCCCTTGGGGTAGCAGCTTGGGAGTCACCTGAATTGGAATCAACATGAACAAGTACTCGAGGAAGAAAAGACAGTTACCTATTTTCATAACTGTTGTTCTTTGAGATGTATTGTTCATGTCCATTCCAATACCCACCCTCCTTCCCTTCTGTCAGAGTAGCTGGCAAGAAGGAACTGAGAGAAGGCAGGGTTGGCTGTGGTATATATCTGCTGCTATAGTAGTGCCACTGTAGGGGTCTCCACAGCCAACCCTAAGAGAGCTACTAGAGGCAAGTTTCCAACACTTGTGCACATGGTGAACACACACTTGATTGGAATGGATCTGAGCATTCCATATTGGGGAGAAAGGATAAGGGACACCCTAAGGCAAGGAGGTGAGGTGGGCTCTTCAGTGGCCAAGGAGATAGGGCATTTGCCTCCGGGGAGGGCAGGGTTGGGGGCTCAAGTCATCACAACACATGTCAAAGGACACCAGTTATGAGAACAGTCTTTTTGGAGGGGTGTGGACAGAGTGGCCATCAGGGCAGCTGTAAGAAGCCCTGGAGGCTAATTATTCTGAAATAATCACAGCTGTGCTGTCCATACTCACCCTATTTTGAAACAGCAATTTCAAAATACGTGTTATTCCTCATGAAATGAGGGGTTATTATTTTGAAATAAGAAGCCCATTACTTCAAAATAATTTCAAAATAATGTGCTTGCTGTGTGGATGGTCCTCTTGTTATTTCAAAGTAACTCGCTAGTGTAGACATGCCCTGAAAGTAAACTTACTTCCCCATCGAGAAGGCAGGAAGAGAAGCAGCTGCTCTGGAGCATGGAGGAGCTGGTCAGCTTCTAATGGAGAAAACTGTTGGCTCCTGTACTCAGCACCAGTTTCTCCAGTAGTGAGAAAGGTACCAACATCTGTCTGCCACCTCCTGTTGTGACCCAATTTTCCCATTTTAGCCCCTTGCTCTGTGGACCAACCACAACCCTCCCCTTGTGCCTAGATTTCCCTGACCCTTCACTCCAGGGACTAACTTCCCCCTCTACCCTGTTATGCCCCAGTTAGAGGAAGATGCAAATAAAAAAATTCCAGTATATTTATGGGATTCTCAGTGTGTGTGTGAAAGCTACAGGTTGGCTCATATGCCAACTGGATTTAGCCCCTTGCTCTGTGGACCAACCACAACCCTCCCCTTGTGCCTAGATTTCCCTGACCCTTCACTCCAGGGACTAACTTCCCCCTCTACCCTGTTATGCCCCAGTTAGAGGAAGATGCAAATAAAAAAATTCCAGTATATTTATGGGATTCTCAGTGTGTGTGTGAAAGCTACAGGTTGGCTCATATGCCAACTGGAGATAACCCCTCTGTCAAGCGGCGCCCCCCCCCCCATTCCACTTTATCA